GTGCACTACTGCTACTAGTGGTGAGAAAGTGTATTGCACCTTATTCAAAATCAATGTGGTCCCACGGCCCTCTGCGGCCCAAAGTTAAAAACTGTTGTTCTTTTAGATTGTTTTATTTAACTATTTAATTTTTTATTTTATCTTTTACTTAATTTTATCTTATAGTTTATCTTTTGTTACTTTTGGATGGGAGGTTGCTTTCTTACCCCTCCAGCACATTTTCTTGTTCCGTGTATTTCTTTAATAAATGTTTTTTCTTTTGTTGAGTGTGTAAATAAAAAAAAATAAACAACTACATGTAGTACATCAAAATTAAACACTCTATGCGACTGGTTCTGATTTTTTTTTTTTTTGTTCAGTTGTAATGTCTACTCTTCATAGCTGAATAAAAATTCTAGCAAAGTATAAATTTTGTCTGGAAGAACTGAATGTGATATCAGGCAAAATGAATATAATATATTGGTCCAGGTCCATGTTTAAGTTTGGGGAGAAAATAGTTGCCCATGAATGCTGTAAAACCTCAGATAACATGAAAGTTTAACATTTACAACACTGTCCAAAACAAAATGTGCCCAATCATAGGGAGTTATTTACCTTTTAAAATGCAGAAATAATCATTAGGGCTGTGTATTGGCAAGAATTTGGCGATACAATACATATCATAACAGAGGGGTCACGATACGATATATCCTGATATATTGCGATACTGTAATCAAGGTGATATATTGTGATTTATTGCTATTTTTTGTCCAAAAATTATATTAAATAAAAACCTCTTACTGAAAAAAAAAGAAAAAGAAAAGCTAATGTTTACTTACAATGCTAATGCTACCCTTACTCTCTGGTGCTCAACGGGTAGAGGAGCCAAATGGCTGCTCACTGCTGCCAACTAGTGGTCAGAGGCTGAACTACAACATAAAAATGAACGGCTGGCAGGAAAGTTGACATTTTAAACCTTAATAAAAAATAGATACAGGGCTTTAGAATATCGATACAGTCTCGGGAAATGAAATATCGCGATATTTCAGTGTATCGATATTTTCTTACACCCCTAATAATCATACTGATTGTTTACTTTGCTATAATGTGCTCTGTACGGGTCATAAACACCAGATCTCATTGTGTGCAGTTTGATTTCTCAACTAAGTTTCTAAAAAACACTGATCCACTCCATTCAGGTGAAACAACCTGAGCAGGACTGGTCTGGACTGAGTTTAGACCAGAGGTGCCCAAAGTGGGGCCCGATTTGGCCCACTAGCAGTTGTCCTGATTACCAGATTGTAATCTCCTGTTGTACGTAGAAATAAAATACTTACACTTAGTCTTTTTTACCATTGATCCAACTATAGGTACAAGGAGATGGTCAGATAGTCTTAACTCATGGTACTCTGTTTCTCTTTGAATTATATTAAGATTAAACATACAATACAAGTAACGTCTAGAGACATTTAGATTAGATTTAAGTCCATATCTAGATTTACATACCTTATAAGACCACATATACTCATATTTTAAATTATGAAAAGTGTCATGAGCATTCGCTGCCTGAGCAAACGTTGAGTTTTCTCTTTGTCCATGGGCTAAAACAAATACACAAACAAAAAATGTGGGCTGCTAGCTCAATCAAAGTATAACTTTACTTGAAGTATTTGCATTTCGTGTATTATATTATTGCATTTGGCCCACGGCCCTCAGGTTGGTTTTGATCTTGGCCCTCAATGGGAAAATGTTTGGCCCCCCTGGTTTAGACTCTTATCTACATTATAAAGTAAAACATGCAGCTAAAAGACTTCTTTCTAACACTGACTGATGACAACAGAAGAGGGAGTTTGACAGAACAGACTGCAGATATAATCCAAGAACAAAATAAAACAGGGAAACAACCAGGACTCACTGAGTAACAACATGGCTTTATAAACAGTTCATTTCCAGCTGCTTCCTCCTTGTTGCTGGTGAAGCACGTGCAACAAGCCCGCGTGTGCTGCTGTTAGCTAACCCATGGTTTTAACGGGAAACACTCGGTTTACGGTCAGACCGTACACACAGCACCTGAGGTGAACATACCTGTGAGGTCAGGCGCTTTCTTTACATTGGCACGGCCTGCTGGGGCTGCTGTAACCAGGGCGGTCATGTCTTCCGTCCATTAGTGCGCCCAACACACACACAAACACACACACACACACAAACACAAACACTTCCAGAGGTACAAGGTCACGCTGTGTGTTTTATTCAAACTGTTTTAAACTACTCACTTCCGTTTTTCAACAAAGAATATGACAAACAAACCAACAACGACCATCCGATGGATAAGACTAAAACACATCATTCGCTCAGGCTGTTTTCACAAGTTGACGCGTTTACTGTTAGTTAAGAAAGTAGGAATTACCAAATAAACTGCGTTCACGTCCCAACTTTAGCTCACTACGTCCTGTTAAAAGATGTACAGAATGTAATATAATGCACAAATCTAGCAAAATAATTCTAAAACCTTACAGCATTAAATTTATCAGAATAAATAAGTTAAACTATAAAAATATATTTTCCCGTTTTTCACCAAAACAATGCAGCCGGTTTACTGTAAAACATGCGGTAACTATAACGCTTGTTTAATTTAATAAATGTGTCAATATTAAAACTAAAATAAGTTGTATTTTCACATTTATTGGTACATGTTGACAGCGATGGAAAGCTGCAGCCATAATTTCCGAGTTTTCTTAAAGGCATCATATGTGACGTCAGACGGGCCTTCTTAAAGTGACAGCGACATGTTTGCGTTGGTCTGACTGGCAGCAAACAAGCAGTGTTGTGAGGTCGACAAAGTGATGCTTGAGTTAAAGTACAAGTAACTTACCATAAAATTACTAAAAAGAAGTAAAAGAATATTATCTGAGAATATTACTTGCGTAAAAATCTTATAGTATTTGACCATTATTATACTTAAATATCAAAAGTACATTTCTGATACGAAATGTAGTATTGGGAGGTGACCTCCCAAAAAACATTTTCCTAAAGGCAATAATGACTGGAATGTTATATTAAAACGTTTGTTGAAAATTTTGAGATGCACTACCTGTTTCAGCTCCATGAATCTCTCTGATCATCTGCTGGAGGGCGACTGTGTGCAGATGATCAATAACAACCAACAGGATGTTAAAGGGATCCCTGATTAGTTGAAACATTAGACTTTATTTCATAAACATATATTTTAACTGTAAAATAAAGACTGTAAAAATACTGTAGGATGTTTAATTTTTACCATTTTTAAAGTAAAAGTTTAAAAATATATTTTAACACGGACGGAGCCATTTTATTTCCACACAAAGCATTCTGGGTAAATGATGACGTGGATAGGTCCTCGGTGCGAGGCTGCTAGCGAGCTATATCCNGTGTACCACTCAGTTGTTTAACAGCATTGTTAATATGCAGAAGAAGAACCTTACAAACGTGCCGAGAATGGAAACCTATTTTAAATGAAAATTAGAAGCAAAAATGAAAGTAACTCATCAAAAAAACATCAAAGTTTGTCACTAATATGAAGTACAGCTTCTGTTTTTAATCATACAATACTTTAAAAGTTCAAAACATTATCAAATACATTTGCAG